TTCACTAGGCGATCTCACCATACCTCCCAACATGGACTTTTCGTCTCTGAATATTGAGCAGCTGGTCGCTGTTGAAGGTCAGGAAAGACAGAATGTGGAAGCAAGAATAAACATGTTACGGACTGTACATGCTCTGCTGGATGCGGCCATAGTCCAGCTTAATCAGTACACTCAAATGATAAATGCGCAGAGGTAAGTTAAGTAAATCAATATTCAAGCGAGTTAATATACGTACTTTGTGTCTTTGTTGATGTGTATGGTTTTATCACTCTGAAAGACTCTTAATGAACCCAAGCTAAATCTTTTTGCATATTTGTTTTTCAGACAACCGCCCTTAAATGTCCCTCAGCCGTCGACCTCAGCAGGACCCTCGGGACTTGGAACCAGGGAAGCAGGTCCCTCGGGACTTGGAACCAGGGAAGCAGGTCCCTCGGGACTTGTAACCAGGGAAGCAGGTCCCTCGGGACTTGGAACCAGGGAAGCTGGTCCTTCGGGACTGGGAACGACAGAAGGTGGTCCCTTAGGACATGGGTCAGTAGGCGCAGTGTCTTCGGTACTCGGTGGAACGACGAAGGCAGCGGGAACGAATCCAGTCTTATCAGCAGGGACGTCATCTTCACCTAAACCTGGGCCTTCTACGGAGTCTGATTGTCCAGCTTCAAAAGACTCGGCGGCGAAAGCCGGAGTTTCATCAGATAAAGACATTTCACAAACAGAACCGGACTCAAATGGCGAGAACTCTGAAATAAGGAGGCGTAGACTGGAGCGATTTTCGAGCGCCATGAATCAAGACAGCGGTGATAAGGAGCAGGAGACCTGATACTGTATACTGCTGTTAGAAACATAGTTTTCAGGAATCTTAAATGACTTGCACATGCCACCTTCGAACAAAGCATAGTTTATCGAGCAGTGACTCCTAAGTTAAAATCTTATTTAAGGATTTTTAGCTGTTTACCGGTAAATGGAACGGGTTCGTAAGCCAGTTCTTCGGTGTCGGGAAGAATGAGATAGATTCCAAGAAATTGTTTCTCGTGAAGGGCAACAACAGAAAGGACATCTTTCTTTTAAACGGGAACATCCGAGAGAAGGAAATCGCAAAAAATTTAACTCAAAATAAACAACTTTAATAGTTTTACAGGAATATTTTTCATTTTTGTAGACGCATATGGAATATCAAATAACAACGCGTTGAACTTGATCCCGTGTCTAGCAAGTTTCTGCAAAGAGATTTTTTGAGCACCTTCGAAGATTGTGTCAAGGGTTGAAGCTTGTACGGAACTGTGAGCGAGCGTAGCTTAAACATTTCTCTGTTGGTATCAAAATAGTCAAAAATCAAAAGGTGAAAATGATTTGCGATAAATCAGCGAGGAAGGCAACTCTTACGCTTCTTTCGTGCTCTCCAAACTTCCCGCGTGCTCCATAACTCGATAGTGCACAGCTGAAAGCATGAACCGATTGTTTTAGAACATAGCCGGTGGAATTGTGCATCAAATCCGACGCGAAAAACGGACAACAATATCAGTTGAAGTGAATCGTGACGGCGCTGATGCCGAGTCTCCTTTTCCGTTGTTTTTTTTCTTTTTCTGCTACATTTAAGAACTCTAGCCCAAGGGAAAGGTCCAGACATTGTCTTCGTTTTCGGACTAGTAGGCCGAGTTTCTGTTTGTATCCATTTTTGTTGCGAAATATATTATTTTCCCCGCGCTGACAATGGCCGCACGAACGAAAAAAAAATTTCTGGCGAAGCGATTTGCTGACGCTTTCAAAGTGCACTATCGGGATTTTGAGCACGCTTCCGTATATTGAATTTGATTGCGCGGTTCTGCTAGATATGTTCTCAAAGGAATTTGTCAGTCAGCAGGAAACTAGTAATCAAATGTGTAGTGGAAGTCTCAAGGTTTCACTATGTCTCTCTTTGTTTCCTTTTACAGATTTACATGAACGTACCACTGTTTTGTTTTGTTTTTTTTTTTTTTTCAAGTGGCAACGTTGGTTTCCTTTGTTTTCCTTTAAAATTTTTTGGCGGGAAATTTGCGTTCGGCTGACCAAAATAGATCCTTTTGGGCATGTTCTATGTTTGACGGCTTCATTTGGGTTTGCATATCGCAAGCCATAAACACAAAAGTTATTATGATCCAGTATGTCTTTCCTGAGGCGATGTTTTTCGCAAGAGTTGATCACGTTTATCTTGCGTCATAATTTTTTTTTTTTTTTGAACCTCAAGGGAGAAAAGTAAATCATCGACTGAAGTAAAAAACTCTGAACACCGATCTCCATGTAAAAAAAAATTTCTCTCTCCGAGTCCGCGAAGTAATTTCCTGCTTTAATCGAAAACATTTGAAGAAACGAAAAACGAACTAGCACAAAAGACGCGTTCAGTTATGTTAACAAGGCATATATGTTTTACTTCCGTTTATTTACAACTAGACGTCACAACTTGTTGAAACTCAGTTGACTTGCATCACTGTTGGCCAAAAGAAATTTTCCTACATCTGAATGACTAATAAGTAATCAAATAATAACAGCAGATAGGTGCGATGAAATAATTTGTTGGATGGAAAATTAATTTCGTTGTTTAGAGCGGGAATATCTACGGACTGAAATAACAAAAAACGTCATCACTGGCACAAATAATTTCTATCGTTTTATTGTATCTGTTGAAGTCAACGGTTATAGGGCTATTTAACGGGGAAGTTTTCGAACCTGACGTTTCGAGCGTTAGGCCTTCGTCTTGAAACGTCCGCTGTAGAAACTCTTTGCGGCGCCCAATTTACTATATCAACCAAGTTGAGAAAACCAAATTATCTTTTAATACCTTCCCACCGACGCAGCACCACAGTTTCTTTAGAAACTTACCCCGGCCCTTTATTGTATTGAGGACGCTAATAAACTGATCCTGCAACTTACATCTTCGAGTAAGATTTCACTTCTGCTGATTGAGACGCTTTCAGTGTGAAAAAAGAAAAACATCAACAAAGACACGGAGAGTAAACTTGAGGGAGGAAGTTGTCACTAAATAGGATGACTCACTTGACTGTGACTGACGATCATCGAATGATCAAAGAATGATTCTTCCTTAGTAACCCTGTAACTAATTGATGCAAAAACCTGTAACAAGAAATTGTTTTAAACGTGATATTTGTTTAAATGGTGGACAGAATCAGTGTTTTTTTGCCTTGAATTCCCTCTATTCTGTCGTTCTTAACCGTTTTAATCTACTTCTTACCGACAGTTTTTTTTTTCAGTTCTAAACAGTGATGAAATTTTGATCATTCATCAATGTATCGAAATGTACCTCTATTTTATTTGTATAGACAGCCGTTTCGTTATTATGTCATCCGCATCACGTACTAGGCGGACACGCTAAAAATATCATTTGCGAGTTCAAAAAACAGGTCTAGTTGTTAACACGAGCCTCAATAAAAACCCGTCACCCTTTCCTCTGCGCTTATAGTACGCCGCCGCCGACAAGTTTCTGAGGCTTTGATCCAAATACTTCAGCTTGGGATACCTGCTTTCCCACGAATTCCTAAACACGCGAAAAGGTAACGGCAAGATTAGAGCAGTCATGATATGAGGTACAACTGACTCCAGGCCGCGCTAAACACGTCGAGATTTAATCTAAAATGTTGTTAGTATGTATTGATTCACAGTTCACATGTTTGTTTCTTAATTTTACTTCATACTAAAGATCGAAAAAGTCACAAAATTTGAGTAAGCTGAGCTTAAATATGCTTTTAATTGGGAGATATCGAAACCAAACTCTAAGCATCGATTTACGCTCTCCGCCCGTTGAACAACCAGTTCTCGTATTAATACGAAAAGCAACAGATAGAGCAGTCAGTATCTTGATCTTTCGCGCCCCGAAGTAAAACGGCAGAGAGCAAGAAAATTACATTTAAAAGAGGCATTTACGTGTCAACTTAATTATTACAATAGCAAAATATCTTCTTCAAAATTAGACATCTTGGTAACTTTAAATAATCAAAAAGCATTCCCAGATGTACTTAGGCTGAGAAAGCCATACGAACAGACTTAGTGGTGACTCGAGTTAAAGAAAAAAGTACAATTAATTTGCCTTTGTTTATGTTGTGTTGTCAGATATTCAGGGTAAATTATTTCGGCTGTCACCGGTCCTTTGAGGACAATTCAAACATTTGTGCGAAAAACAGAGAGTAGTTTTTTCTAGATAGTTCTCTGTAGCATTGCTCTCAAAGAAAATAGCACTTACTGCGGAAAACTGAAATAATTTACTTGTGCCCCTTTCATTATTGTGAGTGGCGGACTCTTCTGGCTAAGTGGTGAGGTAAATCATTTGCGGTCATAATGTTCAAATGAATAAAAGAAAGTTAGCTAATCCGGCAACAGATGAGGCGAATTTTGGTTTGTCTTAGACGTTTGTACTTAAGGCAAAAAGTTTCTAGCTTTCGTAGTTTCAACCAAAATAAAACACGTCAACTGAAAGTTCAGAAAAAAAGTGCGAAATTTAGTGAATGCTCAAACAATCGAAATGCTTGTGGTGACGTGGCGAAAAGATCACGTGGCCAAGTAATTCCTTCGAAGAAAAAAATTCTTGCCGGACTCGTTTGGGGTTACAAGGGAAGAAGAAAAATGTTTGAAGAAAATAAAACTTTGCGAGTAAAAAGAAAATTTTGTTAATGTCTCTTTGGATAAATGAAACACAACATCGTTTTCAAGTACTAAGTAGTCAGGCCTTATCTATTTTATAAGTATGGAAGGCTGGGGGACGTTTGTTGACATCAATGATGAGTTAATGATGTATACGTAAGGCTTTCAATTCAGGGTTGAGGGCTCATAGCACAGGGGGCATAAGGGCTTGCTTTTCTCAAGAATATCCTGAGAAATGAAATTAGATTTTACAAAGTCAGCTTCAGTTGACATAGTGCAACAAAGATTTTCATTCAGTTTAGAAAACGAGAAAGCAACTAACTGTATCTGGAAACTGGTAGGCGAAAGTCCTTCGTTTTAAGAAGAAAATGCGAATGCCAAATATTAAATTTTTACCTTAATAAGCAAGGATTTAAGGACTTAATTTGAGGGAAAAAGGGAAAAGGTTATCATTTCTTCAGGCAAGTTGAGAACCTGAAACCCGCATGAAGACTAGTATTTTCAAGGAATACGGAAAATAAGCGGTTTATCTTAAGGGTAAATAAAGAATTTAATAGACTCATTTTTTATAAAGCATGGATTGTATTGAATCCTTTCAGCTAACAGAAATGAAGAGACCTCTTATCGACCCTGTTTTGGACTGCAACATTTTAATCCTAGAAACTCTTCTTGCAAAACGTGGAACACTAAGAATTGCAATTTTTTAACATAATTATTCAGTTGTAAAAGGCAAGACTACCAAATTATACATTTCTCGAAAGTTTCTAGCAGAATGCTTATTTTAAACTTTCCTTCAGGTTCAAATTACAAGAAAGGATGTCTCGTTTGTTGGTGTTCTTTCTACTTGCAGTGATATCAAGTGGTTCAGGTGAGTTTTTTTTGTGGCTCACACGAATTGTAAACCGCACTATATTATGATCCAAGATACTTTTTACCCTGGGATAAATCACGGTGAACAGAGCGCTTGTCACGTGGTTTACTATGGTCGAGGATAGGTTCCATTCTACGCTCAGCTACGTTACGTAAGCTTCAAAGCTTCTGGAAGCGGCCATTTTGTATTTTTGGATGTAATTCGTTATGGAAGATAGTGTTTTATCTAGTTATTCGTCCATCCTTGTTGCTAAGATTTCTAATAGAAACTCAATAAGGAACCAGACACTAAAAAGGAGCTCATTTTGGAAGCCACCCATGTACGCATTGAGAACCTATTTTTGTGTTTTCTTTGTCGATGGGTTTCTTAACCCTATAAACCCTAATATCACGCATATTCTCCATACTTTTCTCCGTACATTTCCCAAGGTGCTGACAAGGAGAATTTGTTTAACAATCAACAGCTTCTTTAGTTGGCGATCATTTCCTTTATTCTCGTGACCATAATGTTTTATTGACGGATAATATTNATTGAGAACCTATTTTTGTGTTTTCTTTGTCGATGGGTTTCTTAACCCTATAAACCCTAATATCACGCATATTCCCCATACTTTTCTCCGTACATTTCCCAAGGTGCTGACAAGGAGAATTTGTTTAACAATCAACAGCTTCTTTAGTTGGTAATCATTTCCTTTATTCTCGTGACCATAATGTTTTATTGAGGGATAATATTTAAGGAGAAAATTAGATGTCTAAAGTCAAAGCCGAGGTGAACCATTAATTTAAAAACTCGCTAAAAGGATGTAGACCACATACAGTTTTTTTTACATCTATTTGACCTTTACTTCCGACCATCAGCATGTATATTCTCCCTGCTACTCTCATTACAAATCTTATTGAAGTGTTGAGGAGAATTTGTTCAACAATCAAGAGCTACTTCAATGACCTTTCAATTTCTTTGTCCTCGTGACCTTAATGTTTGACCTTAATGTTTGACCTTAATGTTTGACCTTAATGTTTGACTTTATCTTTTTAGGGGTTAAAAGATTAAGGTATCGAGTGAAAAAAATAGCTAGGATATGAAAAGAAATATTTCCCTCAAGTCGAATATAATCTTAACCTACTTATTGATACTCGGTTCAGAAAAAAAACACACGCGCGCACACACACACACACACACACACACACACACACACACACACAGACACTTACACACTCACGCACACACAAACACGCACACACACACACAGCACACGCACCCGCGCGCGCGTACACACACACACATACACGCACACCCACACACACACACACTCACACACACACGCACGCACACACACGCGGACACAAACACACACACACACACACACACACACACATATAAACATACACACACACTGTAGTGGACTGTTATAGGACCGTGATTAAAGAAAAAATATATTGTGTTTTCCAAAATTCTTTTAACTTTTTTAACCCCTTAAAGGAACCGGCTTCTAATTTATTCTTACAGTGTTACCGCTGAATCAATCCGTTAAGTTACGAGAATAAAGAATGATCGAGTAAAGGAACTTTTGATTGGTGCACAAAATCTCCTTGTAAGCACCTTAGGAAATGTAAAGAGAACAGTATGGATAATATGCATACTGAGGTTAGGGTGTCAAAGGTTAATCAGAATATAGGCGTATATAAAATTTCTTTACGACCCTCAAAAATTAAGGAGTTCAGTCCCAAAATTTGTTTTAACGGATCTTCTTTACATTTTCAAAAGGTAATTTCTTTCGTCGAGTTTGTGAACATCAACGAATGACAATAAACTGCGGCTCGAAGGCCATCAACATCCAAAGCGCTACCTACGGACGCACTCGGAGAGGAATTTGTGGATTCAGAAATAATAGGAACACTAATTGTCATGCTGGAACATCCATGATGCTCCCTAAATATGAATGCCAGGGCCAGTCAAGGTGCACATTGCACGCCAAAAACTCAGCCTTTGGAGACCCGTGCCGGGGCACTTTTAAGTATCTGGAAGTAGGAATCAAATTGCGCATTCAATCTAAATACCTTAGATACATTTTCGCGTTAGCTCAAATCTTTTTGTCGTTGTTGTTGTTGTTGCAACACTAAACAGTATTACACCGGGAAGACGACACAGAAGTAGTCACGAGGTTAGTCTAAAGCGCAAAAACCCTGAGTCGAGGGTAGGAGGGGAGGGGAGGGAGGAGGAGTGTAGACGAAAAATCAACAATGGCTTTGCTGATTTCCAAAACCGGACTTCATGAATCTCATTTTTCATTTTTTTCCGCTCTTTTTGGTTGCAGAACGCAGAGATATTTAGATAACTAGGTTAATAACTGTTTCCTTTCCTTATCTTTGTTATATCCGAGTTTGACTGCTGTGATTTTTTTTTTGTTTAAAAGGTGAGGTATGAGTGCGTACCAAAAGCACAAATATGCTTCCAAGACTCAATTTTGCTGCGAATCTGTGAGCACCGCACGCAAACAATCACCTGTCCTTATTGGAAACCGAAGATCAACATAATATCAGCAAACTATGGCCGTTTAACTGGTCGCCACATCTGTAGCGGATCAGTGCGAACCACGAACTGTGGAGCTGCGAGATCGCACGATAAAGTGAAAAAATCCTGCCAGGGAAGACGGAGCTGCCGTTTGAGAGCATCAAATGGAATCTATGGGGATCCTTGTGTTGGTACATATAAGTATCTGGAGGTAAGAGTATCCCAATTTCATTTTAAAAACCCCGAGTTCACCAGAACCTTACTTACTGGAAGTTTTCCATCTTAGCTGGAAACTGCTGACATTTTACAGTGCAGACTCAGCCAAAACAGGGTTTAAACGTCTGTGCATGGGCAAACATTGAAACTGCAAAAAGGTGGCGTCACGCATTCTGTAATCAATTATAACAAATGATAATAAATTACGTCGGCGACGCGTGATACGTCACAACGTATCACATTTACAACGTGATTGGTACGGAAAAACTCACGTGATCAAGTTGCATTGGGTTTTTTTTCACTTCGCTTTGTAATTGATCCACAAAACTCACGCCACCCCATCAACCAATCAGATGTAAAATTGAAGGCAATCGCCACCTGTTGACACGCGTTTTTCCCGCGCTTTCTTTTTTCACTAAGAGTTCTTATTGGCCTCTTGTGATTAATTTATCTATTCTGATTGGTTATTGGGATTTCTTCGTTTGCAGGTCAGATACAGATGTGAAGAGTGATGTCACATGGTCAACGGGCGTCAGGGGCTGAAAGTTCATGAAACAGAAATGATCCATTGTACGTAGTCTAGCTGTAGAGTTTGATAAAAGAGATCATTAAAGTCCACTTAACTCTAATTAACGTCTGTAGTTAACTTGTATCTTATTCAGTTCTTACACGGCCAAAATCAGGATTGATTTTCAAAAGATCAAGAAAGAATGGGTCGGAAAAAAGAATCAACTTAACGGCCTGCTCCCAGTTGGCTTGTTAGCTCAATTGGTAGAGCGCTGCACTAGTATCGCAGAGGTCAGTGGTTCGAATCCCGTACAGGCCTGATTTTTTTTCAGGTCTGATTTTCGCTATTGCTTAAATAGCGCTATCTACTGCGAGGATCGTGCATCATATGTATCTAATACCGCAGTACAAAATATATGAACTTCATATATTTCATTGTATCTCATTTATCACTTTCACGGGTTTATTACGAATCAACTTAACGGCCTGCTCCCAGTTGGCTTGTTAGCTCAATTGGTAGAGCGCTGCACTAGTATCGCAGAGGTCAGTGGTTCGAATCCCGTACAGGCCTGATTTTTTTTCAGGTCTGATTTTCGCTATTGCTTAAATAGCGCTATCTACTGCGAGGATCGTGCATCATATGTATCTAATACCGCAGTACAAAATATATGAACTTCATATATTTCATTGTATCTCATAGCGATGTGTATTAAAGATTCTAGCATCGTTGTAAATTATTATTATCAACTCTTTGCCTTTTGAATTTGAACACAATTCTGTCCGCAGACTTTGATATTAATAGCATTCAAATAAAGTTATTCCTTTCTTGCCATTATATCAGTATTGCTTATAAAGGGAGTCCTAGCTCCTGCAAAAAGCTCAGAGACCATTTGAGAACTAGGGCTTTGAATATCAGTTGAGATTCAGAATATACAGTTTTGTCATCATCACCACAAATAGTTCAATTTTATAATACATGACTAAATTACATTTCACAAGGGAATTTCTTAAACTGACGTTTCGAGAGAAACAATAATGAGGATCGAAATGTAGCAGTGAAAGTGCGCCATTAGACACCAATAATAACAAATTAAAGTGCTAGAAATAGCGACACGTGAACTTGGGACCTCGTCGCCTGACGCAGTGGCAGTCGAAACGTCGTGATCAATATAATTGATTAGCCTGGCTCTCACATCATGAGGCAAATGATTACCGATTCATTTATTTAATATCAACTCATTAATATCAACTCAGTTGATAAACCCAAATTATCTTGTAACAGCCCCTACCGAAGCAGCAACACAGTTTCTTTTCACAGAGAAAGATAATTATCCAATCATAAACTGATGCCACATATTTACAAATAGGATTTCGCTTTTCAGAATGAAGAAAAAAAAGGCAACAATGACCAAAGTATCCTCTTGAAACTTGAAGTTGACACTTACAGATTGACTCGCTTGGCGACTGACGATTCTTCCTTAGCAACCGTTCACAGAGACTGGGTCACATGACAGAATTTATATCTTCGCGTCACTTTCACTTTATATTCTTGTCCAAGGACGCCATGATTCCTTTTTACCGACAATTTTCAGTATTACTGGGTTAAATTGTGTTCATTCATTAAGTATCTTTTGTTTTTGTTCCGTTTTCTCTTTTTTGAGAGCAAGTCCTCATCAATACAACTTCCGCATCACGGATCGGAATAACAGGCTAAAAATACAACAAGTCTAGTAGCTGATACTAGCCCGAAGAAACATTAAAAAAGTGGGTTACATTTTCCTGGTTGTTCATAGTACTAAGTCACAAGTTTCTTGGGCTACCACAACGATCCCTTGAGCCATAAGACTAACTGCTTTCTAGAACTTTAACCCAGCCGAAACCACAGGTGAGCATGACTGATTTGAGAGGAAGTGAAGTGCAATTTCAAAACTACCCGTTGTTCAAACTGCATTCAAACTAACTTTGGGGTGGTCAAATTTATCATCGGGTAAAATAATTTTGCAAAAACCTACTGTTCATATTTGACCGTTTGGTTTCTCAAACTCTGAGTTAAACTCCCGCAAGATGTTAAAACTTTGCACATTCTTTCATACAAACGAAAACAAATCAACATTTAAACCTTAATTAATTTACGCCAACCACCCTTTTAGTCCCGGCTCTGTATTACCTCGGTAAACGGAAGGTATGCGGAATGTTTATTCGCTCACCCTAGCACAAACTCGTCAAAGCCCAAGAAAAGAAAATGAGATGGAAACATCTACAATGTCAGCTACATAATTAGAAACCGCGAAACTGTCTCCTCTCAAAGAATTGAACATCTAGGTAATATCATCAAAATCACTCCCTATTTAACCCAGGTTGAGAAAGTTCTAAGAACAGAATACCGTCTCGAGTGGAACGAAAAACAACATTCACCGAATGAGTTGACCATCGCTAAAATTTCTGTTGTCAGATATTTAATAAATGCTTTCGGCTGTCACAGAAATTAAGTAAGACGGAAAACTTGGCTAGTCAGCATAACAAAAGAGGTAAATTTTTTTTTGTCTCAGTTCTTTATACCTATAGAGGTTTTGCACAGCAGCCATGTGGGATGGCATGAACAATAGATTATTTCACCCATGGGAAAAAAAATTCTTTCTTATGCAAAATATTTTCATTGTTCCTGCTATCCAACATGGCTGCTGTGCAAAACCTCTATAAGCCAAAAAGTTTTAAGCTATTATAGTTCCAAAATAAAAGATAACGAAAATTCAGAATTAAAAAAAGGGCGCGAAATTTAGTTTAACGCGTTAACACTCGAAATACTTGTGCTGACGTGGAGAAAGGATCACGTGGTCTTAATCAGTAATTCCTGAGCTTTCGTCTCGATGACAAATTCTTGCTGGATTAGTCCGGGCTCAAGAGGAGTAGAAAATGTTTCAAGAAAACGTTCACGAGGAAAAGAAAAGCAAATGTCTCTCTGAGTAAACGAAAGAAAGCAAGAAAGCATGTCTTTTTTAATCAGTATTGGAGTGGGAGAGGAAATGTATGTCAAAAAAAATCCAAAAGGACTTTTCTTTCGGGGTCGAAGGCTCCTAGAACATTTTGATTTCTAGGAACGAGGAAAACAGGACCACCACAAATTGGGAATAAGGGATAGGTGCTCACTTTTTCCTGAAAAATGAGATAAAATGATGATTAAGAAAATAGTGCAAAATGGAATGACTAAAATTGCCATGATTTTATTAGAGAAAACCTAATTCAGATTCCCCTTCAGGCTTAAAACTCGCTACAAAAGAAGATGTCTCCTGTTTTGGCTGTATATCTCCTTGCTGTAATTTTAGGAAGCACAGGTGAGCTTTTACACTTTCCGTTTACTTTTAACAGTATCAGCCACACTTTTTTAGAATTACCAAATAGGAAAAGACTGCAGGTATTCTGTACTGTAACCTCCAACCAAAACATTTAGGAAGGGAGAAAACAACAAGGCCATAGCCAAAAAAATTTTCATTAGCTTGAGCGAAATATAATCTTGACGCATGTCTTGTTGTTCGATCTAGTTTTTCAACTACGCTGTAATAGACAGATGCAGGACTCATTTAAAAGAAAAGCATAATAATGCTAACCAAAACAAAAATTGATTTATTGAAAATTAGTTTAAAACTCTTTAAACTCCCAGGATTGAACAAGACAGAATTTCTTCTTACAACGTCCAAATGATATCAAGCAGACAAGTGACGACTAAGAGGAAAAATATCACTAAGGAGATTATTAGTTGATCACATACCAAATTCTCAGAAGTAACATCATAAGAATTGTATGGCAGACAGCGAGGAGAATTACAAACGAGATCTTGGCAGTGAAAGAGTCAATCAAAACAAATGAAGTGCTTTTAAGATGTTTAAGACCTCCAAGAGGAAGTTTGGCTTGACGCGATTGTTTATAAATGATATTGCTTTGTATTTACAGAGGGATATCATAAATTTCTTCGAGTTAGCGAACATAAACAGATAAAAATAAACTGCTTCTCGAAAGTCATCAACATCCTAAGCGCCTCATACGGACGCACCCATGCCCAGAGCCATTGCCATGCTGGTACATCCATGATGGTCGCCAGATATGAGTGCCAGGGACAGACAAGTTGCACGTTGTGCGCTGAAAACTCGGCCTTTGGCGGTGACCCGTGCGCGGGCACTTCGAAATATCTGGAAGTAAGTGACAAATTGTTGTCACAACGCCAAAAATATATTGCACTTGAAAGACGACACAATTAGTTCTAACCAGTAGTCACGATTTTAATCTTAAGCGCGAAATCCTGAATCTAAAAGGGGTGGTGGAGGATGGGGGATGCCGTGATAAGAAAGTCAACGATGACTCTGCTGATTTCTAAAACCAGACTTCACGAATCTCATTTTTCATTTTTTCCCCATTTTTTTGTGGCTGAAGAACGTAGGGATATTTAAATAACACGCGTATACTTTATGTTTCCTCCCCCTTTTTGTCTTTGTTATATCGGAGTTTCACTTCACGGATTTAATTTTTGTTTAAAAAGGTCAAATATGAGTGCTTACCAAAATCACAAATATGCTTCCAAGACTCAGTTTTGCTGCGAATCTGCGAGCACCGTTCGCGATCTATCAGCTGTCCTTTATGCAGACCGAAGATCAACATCATAGCAGCAAACTATGGCCGTTTAACTGGTGGCCACATCTGTAGCGGACCAGTGCGAACCACGAATTGCGGAGCTGCGAGATCGCACGATGAAGTGAAAAAATCGTGCCAGGGGAAACGGAGCTGCCGTTTGACAGCATCAAATGGAATCTATGGGGATCCTTGTATTGGAACCTATAAGTATCTAGAGGTAGGAGTTTTCGTATTTTACTTTTACTCTCTACTTTTTTCACGCTCCAGATCCCATCATCGAATTAAACAGAACCTTCACTGCTACGACATTTTCCCAATTGGACCTTAAATCTGCTCTACGAACACTCTCCTCGTTTGAACAGAAAACAGCTCACTCTCCCCAAGGATGTCTGTCGTTGTTGTTGTTTTTTACAAAGATTTCTGCTCGTAGGGTTGAAATGACCTTAGCTAACATTATTTGCGACCATCCTATCCTTTTTCTAGAGCAATTTTTAACTGCATATCAATGGAATCCGAAATTACATTACTTTGGTTTCACTTTGCTTTGTGATTGGTGGAGAAAACTCGCGCCATCCTATCAACCAATCAGATGTAAACTCAGAAACAACTCGCAATTTTCCCGCGTTTACTATTTTCCCCGCGATTTTCCGCGCATATTGTTGATTTTATCACGAGTTCTCATTGGCTCCTTGTGATGATCTTCTTTGTTCTGATTGGCTGTTGACATTTTTTTAATATATCCACAGGTCAGATACAGATGTGAGGAGTGATCCCAGGTCAGCGGGCGTCAGAGGCTGAAAGTTCATGAAACAAAAATGATCCAATGTAGTCTGTAGAGTTTGATAAAGGAGATCATTAAAGTCCTCTTGACGCTAATAAATGTCTGTGGTAAACTTGCATCTGCTTCAACGCCCCTACGGCCTAAATCGAGTGATGTTCAGAAGATCAAAAAGGGATAACATGTGTTGGGAAGAAAGACTTCTATTAACCTGACAGTGTGAGTGACAACCATAAACTCTCCCATCCCTCACATACTTCGAAAACCTGCAATCATTCTCTATCAGAGTTGTTCGTTTTAAGGAACCAGAAGTTGTAACTCAGTTTAGGAAGGTAAGCAGTGAGTACTGACTCTTACAAAACAAAAGTACCCGGAACATTTCGACGACTGTTACCTACTGGGAACAATAATTTACTTAAAAGGTCAGGAACTGCAAACCTTTCTACATCAAGATAATTTGCTGGTCTAGGTAGTTAGTTATCCCACTTGTTATAGAATTAACTTTTTATTATAATTATTTATTAATGTAGTTGGCTCGAAGATATTAGCACCCAACTGCTACACGGTAAATTCGAGGGTAAATAAAGTTTATTGATTGATCGATTAAACATGTCAGTTGTCGCGCAGCATTTCTTTTGTTGCTTTCTTATGGGGAGGGGGGGGGGAGGGGAGAGCGATAATTGTGGATCTTACTTTCCCACTTTAAGAGACAAGCTCACCTCAGCCAAAAAAGCCGGTGATCATATCATTTCAAATTCGTGTGCTCTTGTTTTACCTTTTTGACGCCCAAGAGTATCTAACATCTGAACTCTCGTTACTTAGCACCCTGAATTAAACATTACGGTCACGCAAATAAAAGAAATGATCACCAACTAAGGAAGCTCCTGAAGGTCAAGTTAAACAAGTTCTCCTTGTCCGTGCCAAAGGGCAGTATGGAGAATATGCATACTGATGCGTATGATGAACGATCCTCGCAGTAGAGAGCGCTATTTATGCAATAGCGAAAATCAGACCTGAAAAAAAAAAAAATCAGGTCTGCACGGGATTCGAACCACTGACCTCTGCGGTACTAGTGCAGCGCTCTACCAATTGAGCTAACAAGCCAACTGGGAGCAGGCCGTTAAGTTGATTCGTAATAAACCCGTGAAAGTGATAAATGAGATACAATGAAATATATGAAGTTCATATATTTTGTACTGCGGTATTAGATACATATGATGCACGATCCTCGCAGTAGATAGCGCTATTTAAGCAATAGCGAAAATCAGACCTGAAAAAAATCAGGCCTGTACGGGATTCGAACCACTGACCTCTGCGATACTAGTGCAGCGCTCTACCAATTGAGCTAACAAGCCAACTGGGAGCAGGCCGTTAAGTTGATTCGTAATAAACCCGTGAAAGTGATAAATGAGATACAATGAAATATATGAAGTTCATATATTTTGTACTGCGGTATTAGATACATATGATGCACGATCCTCGCAGTAGATAGCGCTATTTAAGCAATAGCGAAAATCAGACCTGAAAAAAAATCAGGCCTGTACGGGATTCGAACCACTGACCTCTGCGATACTAGTGCAGCGCTCTACCAATTGAGCTAACAAGCCAACTGGGAGCAGGCCGTTAAGTTGATTCGTAATAAACCCGTGAAAGTGATAAATGAGATACAATGAAATATATGAAGTTCATATATTTTGTACTGCGGTATTAGATACATATGATGCACGATCCTCGCAGTAGATAGCGCTATTTAAGCAATAGCGAAAATCAGACCTGAAAAAAAATCAGGCCTGTACGGGATTCGAACCACTGACCTCTGCGATACTAGTGCAGCGCTCTACCAATTGAGCTAACAAGCCAACTGGGAGCAGGCCGTTAAGTTGATTCGTAATAAACCCGTGAAAGTGATAAATGAGATACAATGAAATATATGAAGTTCATATATTTTGTACTGCGGTATTAGATACATATGATGCACGATCCTCGCAGTAGATAGCGCTATTTAAGCAATAGCGAAAATCAGACCTGAAAAAAATCAGGCCTGTACGGGATTCGAACCACTGACCTCTGCGATACTAGTGCAGCGCTCTACCAATTGAGCTAACAAGCCAACTGGGAGCAGGCCGTTAAGTTGATTCGTAATAAACCCGTGAAAGTGATAAAT